TTGAGAGATCGCGACCCTCATCATGACTGAATCTGGCCTGCAAGAACCCTACCATACAGACTCCAAGTACCGTTGAGGTTCTGACAGGTTGGACGACGGCTGCCAGTTCCGTCGTTTTCTACTTCAGAAGTAATACGAAGAGAGCGTTTTGAGAGATCGCGACCCTCATCATGACTGAATCTGGCCTGCAAGAACCCTACCATACAGACTCCAAGCACCGTTGAGGTTCTGACAGGTTGGACGTGCCGGGCTTCACTCGTGCAAAGAAATTCTGATGTTCTTCCTTAAAAAAAAAATTCAGTTCCGGGGCCCCGCGCGGCCTCAAATTGTTGTTGTTGTTTTTTTTGTTACTTGACGCGACATCCCACTTGACCCTACAACACCCCTCCCCAACTTTTTTTTTTGTTTGGCCGACCCCTTATTTTCGGGGTGCGCCGCACCCTGTGCGCGCGCGTCGTGCGCGGTGCGGCGTACGTGCGGGATGCCGCGCACCTCGATGCGCCGCAAGTATGCCACAAACTGAAAGTGTTAACACAAACTCACCCTTACACTTTCATTTCAAGGACGCAGCTGCCCATAATCCGAACCACACTAGTTACATACTGCCGCGCACAAACACGCCCTTATCTGCAAGACTCCTGATCCAGATTCCCCCCAGACAACCCATTGCCAACCTTCTTCCCGTGGACATACCCCCCCTGATCCAGAAACTGGCTGCCATTTCCGAGAATGGATTGGGTCATTTCATTAAGAAAGAACTGGACGCAAAGAAAAAAGTGAAAAACAAAAGCTGCACAAAGTGAAAACGGAAAGTGTGTTCTCTTCATGTGCCCAGAGAATATATCGGCACAGCACAATCCCCTCATTCTCTTTTCTGCCTCTACAACGATCCAAATGCCTCTTCCCCATCACAGCGACCCCAAGGAAAAAAAACAGCTACGTACCGTTTTTTGCTGATTGTTCACCATTGCCCCGTTTCCTTTCTTTTTAATTTCCAATCTTAAACCACTAGTACCTTTGCTACTACAGAAATGAGCAAACCGCCAGTCCCCGAAGAATTCGGAGGCCGGGCCCGACGACAGCTGCCATTGATAAATCAAACCGGCGGCCGTCATTTCGTTTCGGCCTCCTGAAAGGTTGGAGGCCCGCTATTTTCCAAACCGACAAAGGTACTGGTGATTTAAGGGGGTTCCTCCATCAGGCCATTGCCGGGAGAGCTTTGCATACCGTCTGCAAAGCAACATAAGCATAAACTCAGGGAAATGCTCCTGCATTGTAGAGTCAGAAAAGAGACTGAGAGCATTGTGCTGATGAAATCTCGCACACCGAGATAGGGAAGAAAATTTCCAAGGAACAGTAGGATCATTGGACGATATGTGAAAGGCAAACCCTATTCGACTCACATGCAGCAGAGGCTGAGGGAGTTCGCCTTCCTTCTCCTTTCCTTCCTCATGGCTAGCAGAGGCCGGGCTAGTTTCTTCTTCTACCTTGTCCGTCTTACAGACAGGGAGGTGCTGTCCATTCCTAATGCAATGCGAGATGTACGAACACTGAAAAGAAAACATAAAGAAAAGTACCAACACTGATGGTATCACCGAATTGCACTAACAAGCAGTGCCATGCAAATATAAAGCAGAAACTAGAGAGCACCTCCCAAATGCTGTGTGTCAATACGAATCCACTCTACAGACCTCTCAGCTGACAGACAGCGCAGGAACGGGACCACAACGAACGTAAAAATGAGGAAAGATTCCCACCAATAAACCCTAACCCAAACATTATGGCTACTTACCACCATTGGGGACTTTTGTTTTCCAAACAGAGGCCTCTGGTAGTTCCAAAGACCTGCCCTTGTCTCAAGGTAGTACATAGGTTCCCTGTCCTGCAAAATTCAGACATTTTTTACATTTGAATCAGCTCTTACGGTATTGATTCAAGGAAAAGTTGGAAAACTGCCATGACACAAGGACGGTACACAAACCAGGAAGCGAGACAAAATTGAACAAACAACTCAAAACAAGTTTAATAAACTACAAACTTACAAACGGGTATTCAACTCTCTCTCTCTCTCTCACACACACACACACACACACACAC